CGCCGTCAGTAGCCTCGGGGAGCTGGTGGTGCTCGTCGCGGAGGCGGCCGAGGGGAGGTCCGCCCCCACGACGACGGCCCCCCCTCCGGCCGCCAGGGAGACAAGCCTGAGCTTTCAGTTTGTTGCGGCGATTTATTACGAGTGGGGGCTATTAGACCCACCGCATCGCGACGGTCTCCATTCTTTGTGCCAGCGTTGCCTAGACGCCGCCTCCAGGATTGCGTCAGATCCTCAAGGCCCCTCCCTGGTGGATCTGGTGCGCACGCCAGCCAGTCTGGAGGAGGAAAAGCTAATGGTGAGCGCGGCGGACCCCATTATGGCCTCAGAGCATTTTACACAGATGAGGCGTGAAGATCATAGGAACTCAAGCGATGGGCCGGATATAGAGGACAAAGAAAAGATGTCGAGAAGGACGACCCAAGTGATGGATACCGTAGAGGCGCCGATTAGCCGAACCCCTAGCATTTTGCAAGACGAGGAACCCATAGCGGACGAGATCGATTACCGCTTTTGGATGAATCTTGCTAGCTAGCCTTTGATAGGAGAAAGAAAGGATGTTTTGCTATACGAAGCATCATAAGAACCTTTGGCAAATTTCACGGAGAAAAATGAACACTTTCTTGTACACCCTTTTTGGTCAATACGTGCAGTCAATGTGTAGCGCAATGTATGTTTCTTATGTGTTAGTTGCTTTATTGCTTGTACGGATTGCCCTGCTGTACACGTGCCCAGACGTCCATTCTTTCTCTTCATCCCTCCCTCAAACGAGTAATGCGCTTATTGTGGAAGCAACACTGTAGATAGTAAAGATAGCATACTTCACTGGAAAAGAGGAAAAGTGTGCAAGGGTATCCATCTTCCGCGTTCCGCATTCGCTACTACGAAAGGCTGCTCATAGGGTAGCTTGAAAGCGGAAATAGTACCATGGACTCCAATTTGATTTCCATCAATTTGCCTCTCCGCCGGCGCGTGTTCTTTCTCATGGACACAGCATTTCTCGAGGATTGTTTTTCCCTAAGCACGGACCCCGGAACGAGCTTGACGGATCTTGATGTGGTGGAGGCCACCACCTGCTTGCGTCAGGCGCACGCCGTTCTGAGCCAGGCAAAGGACAAATTGGAGGCCCAGCCCACCGCGAACGGCACCACGGGCGTTACCGACCCTTCAGACGATCGTGTGATTTTTACGCTGTCAACCCTGATGGATCTTGTGCAGGCCGACCCACAAGGCTCGTCCTCAGGCATGTGCATCGCGTCGTCCGCACGGGCGCGTCAGGTCTGGGCCGTCCAGCTCGATGCCCTCCTCTACGCCTTGGAAGACTCAAGTGACACCCGAAGGCTCTCCAACGATACGGCGGAGGTCGTGAGAAAGGCATTGTGCAGTTTGATTGGTGTCTTTTATTCAAAAGGAATGGCATATTACTCCCGCAAAGAGACTGCGTCACTTCCACTCGATGAGGGTAGCTTGATGAAATCCACTGAGGCCTTTTCGGGCGATGATAGTGGCGCAAAGGGCGGCGCGATTGTGCGACTGACATGGAGTCTGGCCTCGCCAGTTTTAGAAGACGTGTACAAACTTCTCACATCCTGAGTTTGTAGGATATCCTTGAGTTCTTTTGCTGCCTCCACCCGTCCGGTGCGCAATTATGTACTTACTAGGGGTACAGACTAGCTCGGATTACCACAACATCAGAACATTTCTTGATCAACACACGGTGGCTTGATCGGAAAACTAGTAATATTAAGATAAACTGAACGCTGCTATTTTAAATGCTCGTTGCTACAACGACATATTGTAGTGATTTTACATCAAGTAATCTTCCCAGCGGCCCCCTTCGACTATTTTTAATGATTAACGTTGTATATTCATCCACCATTTTCAAACCGTCATGTTTCGTAAATTGAGACGGTGAAAATTTATCGCTTGAATACATCAATAAGTCAAGATGATTGTATCTGCATCCAATACAACTCGCACAGATCACAGGCTCGTTCATTGGCAATATCACTGGAGCGTGGGATGTGTACAACTTCCAAGATGAGCCGAAAGCTGGAGCCACCGTGGTGAAGACCAATATTTACTACATTAGTGAGACTGGTGAACATATATCCGGTAGTGACGTAGTGGGTTGCCTTATCGATGATGTGTGCCTTTGTTGATCGAAGCGAAACGCAAGTGAGATAACCATCGAGGTGCATGAACTATTAATTTAAATCCACTATACAATCGCGTATTGGTGGTCGTTGAATTAGGTGATTGTCTTTCTGTACATATACGTATTGATTCGCGCGTTTCAATGGCCTTGTGTTTACCACCGCGGATGGTTCCAACCTGAGTCTGCAAGTATAGAGGAGGACTAATTTCATGTGCCCTTTTTAAAAACGGGTTTTTGAATTATAGTCAAACAAAGTACGACTAGAGCAATTTGCGTCTGCTCATTACTATTTATTGATGGGAAGGATAACCATTACTAATAAAGCCACTATTAGACATTTTTATGTACGCACGCATGTCTTTTTTTATTTGATGAAATCCAAGGCGAATGAAAGCCAAACAATATTAAAAACTTTTATTTTGCTTAGTTTAACATTAATAGAGATATACAGACAAAATTGAAACATTTTAACAATAGTTTTTATACACTTATAGTATCTTATACCCTTATAGACGAAGATATAATGTTTCAGGGTAAAATATTGGGCAGGGGTGGTCGATGGGTATTGCATTCCTACTACTGTATGGCTGCACTGATGCTTTTCGCACTCCTTTCCGTTATCCTCACCTCCGCGAATACGGGAGACGTTGGGCGACGCGCTAGGCACCCTGGATCATCAGTGCCGTTTCATCTAAATAACGTTGAGAATCGCTTCCTACAGTCGTTCGATTTGACTGGGCTAACCGGAGTCCCATCTAAAGAATTCCCCACGTCTCTTTTCATGCAGGATTTTCAGGCCCCGAGATGCAACAACGGCGGCGAGGTCGATGACGACCGCTGCATTTGCCCGATCTACTACACAGGATCCTATTGCTCAGAGCGGCAATGCCCGAACTCGGTTAACGGCAAGCGACCGTACCGCATTCTCCCGGTCAACCCGGTTACCAAGCTCTGCGATGATTGCGATTTGAATGATTTTGAGGGTCTCAACTGTCAGCTCTGTCGCCGTGATGCCGCCTGTGGGGTGTATGGCGGGAATAACTCCCAGTGCAACCGCTCCATCGCGATACGAGGGAATAGTAAGCAGTTTCAATGCCACCTGAAGCCGTCTTATTTCGTGGATATGATGAGCGGTGGGCGGAACGTCTCGGTGGATATCCTGTTAAACTGCTCCACCCCTGACGGAACGGCATTCAGTGCGGGCAAATCTGGCGTCTGCCACATGGCTCTTTACCGCACCGAGGACGACAAGGCGTTTGTGGATCCCTTTTTTCGTTGTGAAACAACCCGGTGCAGCATGCGGTACGCCACCAAGGCGAAAAGTGAAACGTCAGGTGAGGCCAAAGCGAAAACGTGGATTGATGGCGTCTTCGCGAACGTGCGCGTTGCTGGAAGGGTGCTGATGCTCGCTCTTTGTGCGTCGTTGGTTCTGCTCGGTGGCATCGCGCGATCTCTGGGGTACAAACGCCTCAAACGCTTCACGATGGTCATCGGCGCTGCGCTCTGTGCAACCGCGGCGCTATACATTTTTCTAATGGTGCTCAGCATGCGGATGGCGGATCCGGAGGCGGTGGTTGTCTACGAATGTGAAAAAACAAGCTGCGCCTGCGCCGAGGATCCACCGGAGCGCTACCGGCCAAGATGCTCGGAAACGGATATCCTGGTCAATAAGGTGCTTCCTTCGATTCAAAATGGGGTTCGCATTGAATGTGATATCGCATCCGGGGGGTGTGAGCTGACGTTAACTGACATCATGCTCGTCTTTGATGTCGATTGCGAGGCGGCGGAGTGCGTCGACGAATCCCAGTTTCCACTCACCCCTGAGAACGACGACGATGACGCGACCGCGTCGAAGCTACACCTGCTACTAAAGGCGCTCTTCGTTTCTGCCAATCTTTCTTTAGTTGGCGTGCTCATCCATTGGATTTACCTAAGACGGCGTTCCAAGGAGCGGATACGGGAGTTTTTGCTTCTTTTCCACGTCGACGCCGCTCCAGCGATGGCGGACGACGGGCTCGAGTACGACGATGACGGCTTCGAGGATGCCAACATGCCGGTCGTGATGCCCCCTACGGGAAACCTTCCGTCGATGTTGACTCCCCCGACGACGCCATACTTGCCTCGCAAGGGTGGGGATGTGACTCCGAGTCCGAGCGATTCCCATGGGGGTCTCTCCACGCGGCTTCTCGAGAATTCCCCTAGTCGTCCGCGTGCGGCGAGGAGCTGGTCTCGTGGGATCACCGCGAGTGAAAGCTCCATCGGGATGATGGATTCGTTCCTCTTTGAAAGCCAGGAGGAGGTCGAGAGGATCCGCGCCCTGATGCGCTCCCCGTTGCAACTTCGCGTGGAAGGTCTCCGGTATACCTTGAAGAGCCCTTCCTTCGCGCCACTCAACGAGGACACCGGGGTCCGTGTGATTCTCCATCAGATCCATTTCACCGTTCGCTCCGGGGATGTCTTGGCGATTATGGGGCCCTCGGGGGCTGGGAAGACGACCTTGCTGGATTTGTTGTCGGTTCGCGCGAAGTCCGGGGTGGTGCATGGGGATGTGCTGCTTAACGGTTCCTTGGTCTCCACCACGGGCGGCCACGCCTCGCAGTATCGCAACATCATCGGTTATGTTTCGCAGGAAGATACCCTTCTCCCGGCGCTCACCGTCCGGCAAACCCTCGAATATGCCGCCCGCCTGAAGCTACCAACGGCCTTCTCGAAACGCACCATCGACCACATCGTTGATCGCATGATTCAGATCTGCAAGCTTCAGCAATGCGAGCACACGATGGTTGGAGGGGGGGGAAGTATCACGCGTGGGATCAGTGGAGGAGAGCGTCGTCGGGTTTCCGTCGCCGTCGAGCTCCTGGCGAACCCGCGCATTCTTTTCCTGGATGAACCCACAAGTGGGCTGGACGCGGTAAGCGCCAAGCGCATGATCGAGGCCGTGGTGAAGCTGGCCAAGGATTCCTCGATGCGCTCGTACGCGCCGTACTTCTTCGCGTTCAATCCTATCGTCGTCTTTAGCATCCACCAGCCTTCGCAGGAAATTTTCGACATGTTCGACAACGTGTTGCTTCTTTCAAAAGGCATGAGCGTGTACTGTGGTCCCGCACGCGAGGCCGCGGCAACGTTGGAGCAGCGCGTGTACGAAGCCTTTGGCGGCACGCGTGTGATCCCCTTGAGGACGGAGCACAACAACGAGGCCGAGTACCTGATGAAGTTGGAGGAGCTCCTCGACGACAACGTCCGTTTGGAGCTCCAACAACAGGATATCCGCTGCAACTCGCAGCGTTACCCTGAGGAGTGGTGGATGGAACCCTCGGTGGGGCGGGAGGACAACCGAACCGAGGAGACCGAGTCGCCGAGCGTCGCCGAAGGGTATGAGATCCTGCGCTCTGCCGCGGACCTGAGGGTCTACTACATGAACGTTTATCAGCAGTTCGCCCTGCTCACCTCCCGCTCCGTCGCGAGCCTCATCAGCTCTTTCCATCTCGTGATGTCGCACGCCGCCGTGGTGGTGTGCATGGCGAGCCTGATGTGTGGCCTTTATAAGGAGCAAACGCTGGACTTGGCGGGGGCGCTGAATCGGGAGGGCAGCGTGACTTTCCTCCTTTTGGTTACCTCCTTCGTCTCGCTTAGCTGTTTGGAGCACCTCATCTTGGAGCGAAAGCTCTTTATTGTGGAGCGCGAGAACGGCTTCTATAGCACGTTGCCGTATTTTCTCTCCAAACTCGTGGTGGACATCTTCCCCTTGCGGGTTATCCCGTCCGTAGTTCTGAGCTCCGCCATTTATTTCTCAATGGGCTTTCGCACGGACTCGGGTGAGCATTTTATGTGGTTTATCGTCATCATCACCCTCTTTTCGGTGTGTATGACGCTAATGGTGATGTGTGTTGGCATTGTGATGGAATCTTTTGGTGCATCTGCACTCGTAAGCAGCGTTTTTATTCTGTGGTTCTTCGTCTTTGGCGGTTCCATGGTGCAGGCAGAGACGATCCCGTACTACCTAAAGCCCTTCCAGATTATTTCACCCTTCTTCCTTTCTTTTGAGTCGCTCATGATCAATGAGTTGGATAAGCAGTCCTGCGTCTTTTCCCCGACAGATGAGACGGGAAAAAAGTCTTCCAACAGTATTTCTATTCAGTGTCGACAGTATCTGTTTAATGTGGGATTAAAACCGGCCCGATTTTCGTTAGATGTTATGCAGTTGGGCTTGATTTGCTTTTTACTGGTGCTTGTGGCGTGGATTCTTCTCGCCATGTTTACGAAACTTGTCCGCTAGGCATATTAGGCACTTTCTACTCTGTGCTTAAAGACTCCCTTGCTTCCAAAGTACCGCCAACAATATCTTCCTAGCTATTCCCTTTCTCTTCCTCCCCTTCCCCCCCCCCCCCCCCCTCCTGCTACTAAGGGTCCCATTATTCTTTGTCGTTTCGAGAGAGAGTGGTGCTCTAGACTTTCCGTTTTAAGTCCTTCCGACCGTCGAATATGAGGAACAAGTCAAAAATGAATACTCGGAAAGTATTAGGATTATTTTATGCTTCTCTTTTTTTTCTTTGCGCGCTTACCTAATATCTTGCGCCCTTTTATGTTGTCAAAGTTGTATTTTACGATGATGTTCATTTTTATTTTGGGGGGTTGGTCTTGTTACTTGTAGATTGCTGTATTCAAGAATTCTACTTCACACATGTCATCGAGAGGGAAGTGGAACTATAGGGTGAAGAGAGTCGTTACCATTCAGAGGGGAAAAATTATAAAAGATAAATTACGATGTGCATCTTTTTCCATCATCACCCCCCTTCACGTCATTAGTGCAAGACGTGTCGAAGAGTCCGTTTTCTATCCTATTTTGGATAGCATGAGAGATCAAGACTGCCTCTCCGATGCAAACACCGGTATTTTTCAGAAAGGAAAAGCAGATGGTGGAGGTAATATATTAAAATTGTACAAAGTGAGCTTGCACAAGTCATTGCCTTTTGGCCTCCTCGCTTTTTTTGTTTTAAAAGGTGCGTGACGTGAAGTAAAAAAGCGGAGAAAAACATCAAATTGTATATTAGAAGTGTTTCCATTTATTCAGGTGTACGTGTGATTTTCAAAGTTTTATTAGCTTTCATCCGCCAAGGATCTGGTTTGCGGTAATGAAGCCCTCGGAGGCGCGCAAAGGCGTTTTTACTACGCCTCTGCAGAATGACTTCCAGTGGTACAACCTCTACAGAAAAATGTTTGGTGTGTGCACCTATGCCCCGCCGATGCCGATGAATCCGAGTACCACGACCACGACCTTTCCAAAGCGAAAGCATATCCAGGGCTTCCTCGATGACTACCGTGCTTCTTTTGAAATTGAAGCAGGCGACGACCACTACGCGGATAAGGAGCGCACCTTAAACTCCATGATGAAACCCTCCTCCAAGGACGCCTATGTAACCTTTTCTCGACAAAGTTTAGAATTGAGTTCAGAGGATAACTCATTAATTTTTACAGGGCGTACGGACTTGTTCGGGAAGTCTGCCGGTGAGGAATATAGTCAAAACGCATCCGTTCGGTCCCCCAGGACCTCACTCCCCCATTGCAAATCCAAGAGCGGCGACGGCTCGGGAACCAAACATGGTAGTTCTCAACAAGAAATGCTCAACGAACTTCTCGACGACTGTGGCTTCGGCGAGGGTCTTTTTAATGCCAACTTCTTCGACTTTCTAAAGCGCCCATGCAACCATTCCGGGCGGGACGCCCGAGCTTCGGAGGAGCACGCCGGGGGGGGGGTGGATTACCCCTCCCCGGTGGCGTCGATGAGCCCTCCGCCGTTCCCCACCCTTCGGACGAAACCCGCAGCGGAGGAACGGCTGCCGTCCTTGGAGGGGCAGGTGCCCTCCTGTTTGCCCCCAATTTACGCCCACGGGTCGGCCCCGGAGGCGAACCCCAAAGCCCTCGCTAAGGGGTCGGACGGAACCTCGCTCGCCGAGGTCGGGCTCTCGTTCTCCCCGACGCAATCCCACATCTCGCTCGGCAGCAGCACTGGCCTGCTCAACATGAAGCCAAGCCCTTCCGACGAGATTTTGGTGCTCCAACGGGATACCTGGGCCTTGCTGATGGATCACCGCGCCATCTCCTGGATTGAGCGAGAGGCCCACGAGACGGGGAAGGCCGCCGCGCAAAGCCTCCGGCGGCTTCTCGAGATCGTAACCGGGCCCTTGACGTTTTCGAACAAGTCGTTTGATCTTAAGAGTGTGGAGACGCCGAAGGGTTCGGACCCCGAGCGCCTATCGAGCATCAGAAGCACCGACGAATCGAGCGAGATCGCCCTGCAGCGGGTTTATGAGGGGTTCACTCCTTTTTTCGCCATCATCTCCGTCCCAGGGGCGTTGCAGCGACTTCAGAACCAATACAACTCGGCATTGCGAGCCCAGATCCGAGGCCTACCTGGCCTGCCGGCCGACATTGTCGGCATGCCGTTGTTCAGTCAATATGCCACGTGGAAAGAGGCGTTTGAGAATCGGAAGGCGTGGAGCAACGCCCCGTTAAGCTACTTCTTGATTCATGACGTGAGCTTTAATTACGCGCAGATATGCGCGCTCTTTAGTCTCCTTCAAATCGTACAGGACGAGACCCATCAACATACGGAGCGCTGCGTGGAAGCGGCGGGCCTGGTCATCGCGCTGGAGGCGGCGAGCTACTTACTCATAGACTACAAAGGCATCCGCATGGCCGCGGAGGACCATCTTCATGTGTGCCCGCTCCTTGCGATCCAGGAGACCACGGAGGACGTACTCTTGGCCTATGAGCAGAGCTCAGCCCGAAACGCGTTAACGATGGCTTTGTATGTGTGTGATTTCATTACTGACTGCGCCTTGGACCCGGAGACGGCATCAAACTTCGTGAGCTCCGAGGCCCTGAAGCGTCATAGCGCTTTTAAGGTGCCAGGTACTGAATTCACGCAGGACTTTCAAGATTCGTTCAATGTGAAGACTGATGACACGCAGAAGGAGGTGGGTGATAAAAGCGGCGAGCACGGCAGCCCCAATACCGACGGTCAGGACAAGGAATACGATCGATTATCAAGAAACTCCATCTCGACGTCGCCCGATGGGATCAGTATCTCACCAGAGGCCGGAACCCCAAAGGACTCACCGCTTGCCAAGCGTCTTCGGCTGCTTTCCAGGCGCTTTAATGAGGCCGATTTTGAATCCATCTTCGATCTTATTTATTGGTTTACGGACGCTGCGACTGTGCACTCCGGCGTGCCGGTAGACCCACTACTTTTGCCGCGTGATCCCGAAGCGGAGGGAAATGCGACGGGTACGCAACACGGCGGTAAAAAGTCCGACAAAGAGTTGACTTTGCCCAACTGGATCAAGCTGGAACTTTCCATTTCGTCGCTGGAAAGCACCGTCACGAGTGTGAACTCGCAGAGACAGAATTCACGAAAGAAGCGTCCAATCGCGACGCATGGGAACACGAAAGCTCTAAAGAGCAGTAAAAGCGTCTTGGCATCCGCACGGCCTCAAAACCGGCCTCACTGCAACTCCGTGGCTGAAGCACGAGTGCCATCAAACCCCGCGTCGACGTCCTCGGGCGAGGGTGAAAGGCCTCCCCCAGTTGAACCGCTCTACATTCCCGGCCGACACCAGCGCTATCACGCGGTCAGCTCGCTGCTGGAGGCGATCACAAGCTACGAGGCCTGTCTCCAGACGCTTCTGAACCGCAATCAGCGGACGGATCAGGATTCGCCCGAGAGCAGAACGAATCTCTCGTCCGCGGATACCGCACAAGCCGGAAAATCGTCAGGAAGGGGCACTACGGATACCGATGGAACGGCGCCCAAAGACGTTAGCCCAGGCAAGAAACGCCGACGAAGGCGAACCATAAAAAACGATACCCCGGCCGATTTATCGGGACTAGCTACGTATCTCTCCCCCTCGACAACTTTCCTTAAGACGCCGCTGGTTTTTGTGATGAGTTACATCCGTCTCCACGGCGCTGTATGGCTCAAGCAGCTTTTTGAGCGACTTTTTAACATATTGCGCAAGGAGAGCGTTCTTTTGTATGTTAACACGCTGGACCTAGGCAACGACTTTGATGTCCTCGAATCGAAGCACCTTCGCAGGGCGACGGGTGGAGCGTTTAACGCATCTCACACGCATGACTCGCAGCCATGCAGCGTCAGTAACGTGTTGCGTCAGCTGGATACGTCTCGAAGGAATGAAAACAGCTTCTCGACGGAAGTATCCTCTGCGAATGTGGCTGGTCTTTCCCTAAGCACCGCCCAGGAGGCGAGCTGCAACGCGCACGTTCAATCCCTTGAAGATCTGATCTGTCAAGACATCCTGTATGTGATGAACGAGTTTTTTAGCGCACTTTATGGAAGTCGCTCGACCACACGGCTGCCGCGAGGGATCACCGCTCTCATAACTCAGTTTACCACCACCGTGCACTTGCATCTTTTGCAGTCACTTGCGAGTCCGGCTAGTACGGAAAGCGGTGCATCTGGTTTCACCAACAACAGCCCTAGTGATTCCCAACGGTCGGGTCTTCGCCGTGTGAGTGAGTACGTTCGACACTTAAAGCTAAGCCAGGTGGCAGTGAGGAAGGGTATGCTGCGGCACCACGAAATGCTTTCCAACAGCGCCGTGAAGCGCCTTGTGAATAACATCGAGCAGAATCGCCTTGCGAAGTTTATCATATTTGACTGCTGGATTATCTGCACGCTTAACAATGCCATCTCCTACGGCCACCTCGATGAGAACGCCTCCCTCCACCTGCGATGGAATATCGATGCCTTCGCGCGGTACTTAAAAATATTAGTCAATGCCCCTTTTATTAAAGATAAGGCGTCCAGTGGCTACGCAGTGGAGGCAAGTAAATATATTAATAGTCTAGCCGAGCATGTTGCCGGGGTCTCGGACCTGAACTCGGTCACCGAACCGAAGGACAAGATGAAAGGATCATCCAATAAGTCGCGTAACTTTAGCGATTCCAGCAAAACGCCACCACAGGATCACCCGTCCTCACGCGGCTCCCAACACCCTAAGCGAGAAAAGCCCCCACCCGTGACGATGTCACTTCCCTGTTTTATCACCGGTGTTTACGATATCGCGACGGGTAATCTCGTCCGGCTCGGCCTCAACAACACCGCCGCCGCCCCGGACCCCCGACAGGGGTGGCGCGATGAGAATTCCATGCGAGCGGTCTCCCCATCTAATCGAAGCGCCCGGGGGGGTCGAAGCACGACCCCGAAGCGGAATTCCTTCCAAGTTTCCGCGGCGCATATCTCACCGGTGTCCGTGTCGCAAGGGAGTAAGTCCGCATTACGCGATCGCACCCCCTCTAAGTCCACTGTGGTGGGGTTTCCTCGTTCCGATAATTACGTTAGGCCGCCTGCCGCTCCGCAGGTCTACACCGTCATCGAGGGTTCCAGCTGGGATAGCATCTCACCCTACATGAAGGCCCTCAATGAGGCCCTTGGTATTGTTGGGTACGATATGGAAGAAGACAGTTTCGGCGATGAAAACGTTTCCACCCACGTATCCGGTTCGAATCCTCGCGATCGGGTGGATTTATTTATGGTATTACCCGAATTCGAAAAAGCGGACTTTAACCAGCAAAACTGTGCGATGCGTTTGTTAGACTACTTCACTCGGCGTGCCTGTCAAGAATTGTCAGGAAATATAGTGATGACCGAGTTTGAAGTCTTGCCATCCATTGCGGCACGCTGCATTGACAAACTGACCGACTTCATAACGGGGAAGCACCCGCTCATCGTGAACGCGTCTTCGCTTGGGGTGTTGCCCAATACATTCGGCCACTCCCCCTATTTAGCCTCCCTACACGGTACTTTACTACACCCTAAGTGTGCTGGGCAGGCGCTCGATAACGTTAGTCGGAACAGCCGGCGATTCTTCGATGCCTTACTCCGGCCGCTAAAGGACGGGACGATTCTGCAGTTCATCGCAGCGCTTACTCTCGACCAAAGAGGGGTGCCAATGGTCGACAGCAACGCCATTTTGCCGCTCATGCATACAAACGCCGCGGAGATGCCTGTTGAGCCTTCGAATGACCAAATTCGCCCCTGCGGTAGCGTGGTGAGCGCACGGGCCTCTAAAGCTCGTGTATCCCGCTCTTCCCTTGCCCACCGGTGGGAAGCTGAGGCCCGAAGGCTCAGCCAACAGCACAGCTTCCTGACAACCGGTGCGATGCACCAGACGGCGCGCGTGAAGAACCTTCTGTTGAATGTCCAGAAGCTCGACCCGATGCATTTCCTGAAGGCCAGTACGAATTCCATTGTCAAGGAGGCCAATGTCGTACCCCTGTGCTTCGACCCATGGTGGCGCATTATGGTGGTTGCCCTGTGCTTCAAGGTGTCAACCCTGCTATCCGAATGCAGCACGGCACAGTCCGAGGCGTTCTTCGCGAAGTGTCGAGAACAAATGGCCGTCGTCAAGCAACAGAATCGTCAAGCCACCAAGAACTTCATCTCTCATTTCGGGAAGACGACTGAGGAGGTAACCAAAGGGAAAAAGAAGAAAAATACCGCAGATAAGAATGGAAGAATACATCGCACAAGGATGGGTATGCGCCCCAGTCCACAAGTAAATAAAGCAAGTCAAAATATTCAACGAAAATAAGTGGCTTGCCCGAATTTCCAATCCTTTCCTAGAAGGTTGTGGTTGAAACAAGTATATCCTCGCTTAATGTTTTTTTTTGAGTGTATCCCTTAAAATGATCCATTATTTGATATCATCCGATTATGGTAATATTTTGGAAACTTCATCAGATGTATACATTATTAATTATTTTTGGCACATGTAAACTACGCTAGATTTGAAACGCATCATAGGTGCATTCAATGGCGATGGAGACCTTCATTTGATGAAATTTCAATGAACCGTAACTTCTCCAACACAACTATATATGTAATGCGGAAAGCCCTACAAACGAATAGGGTGTCAAGGGTGATACGACGCAACTTCCCAACCACTAGCTCTGTCCCCATTGGTGGGTCCTCATAAGCTCACTCAAATATAAAAAGGACCCGTTTTGCCTTGCGCTTTTGCTCTTTTTTATCAAACACGTCATCTCAGTTTCGTGTATTATTCACATTTACTGGTTAAAAATGAGAATATCAACCTTTTCCCTCCACCTTTCTCATATGTATGTATGTATGGGTATGTATGTGTGTATACGTACAAGAACGGAGATAGGTTACCCGGTGTGGCATGCAATTCTTCTCTTCTCTTCTTTTTAGTCTCCTTCAATGAGCCATATTTCTGAACTCGCTTACAGACCCCGTCCTAATCGTCTCAGCAAATATCCGGTTTCTCTAGTCGAGCCTATCTGTTGTGGCCCCCACGGCAGGCAAAACGAACAGGACGATCCCCATGACAGGGATGCTGCCAAGGGTCGAGTTGGTCTGAGTGAGGCCAACGGCGCGGGAGAATCGCGTGAGGCCTCTCCACTTAAAGACGTGTCTGGTCTTTTGGGCGACTCAGCCGATCGCAAGCGCGTCGGTGAGGTCCAAGACACCCGGTTGGATGGGGTTTATCCAGACCAGGATAAGGGGTTGGCGAGGGTTTCTCGCCCCACGCGATCCATGCCACAGGAAGCTTCACAGGTGTCGACAGGGAGTCGAGAGGACGCGCTATCAAAGAGGTATCGTCTTGAAACGCCGTGTATTTCTCCGGTCAGGAGCCAATACGGGTTGTCGAACGCCAAGACAGTCGATCCACTACCGCCACGGTCTCCACTGCATCATCTTGTTCAGATTTTAGTTCAATCTGCACGTGAAGATGAAAAACTCTTATTCCTAGCCCAGTTAGCCGCTTTCAAAGCATCAAGAAATATTCGAATTCTGGAACTTTACTTCGAAGGGATGGAGCAGAATACGTTTTAAGGGCAAGCCACAGCTTCGAATGTAAAGATCAACCTTCTTCCTCTCCCTCCTTCCCTCCTCTTTGAAACTATTATGCTAATCATATTCTGCTATTTATGAATCGTTTCACTTCACATTTAACTATTTATGCTTTGATCACACCAAAAAAGTGTGGCCATCCACTGTTGCACATACGCGAAAACTATTGGACCTCATTACAGGTCTACATAATGGATGGTATAAAAATAAACCAAGTGCCATCTGGCGGTCGGTGAAAATTTCAAGCACACCCATATACGGCTCCTGTGCATTATGAGTTTCATGAACTAATGAAATGACCACGATCACAATACGCGCTCCATACCTCATTTTTTTAGATTTTATTTTCGTCTAGCATTCACTCGCTTTAGAAATATATAGCCTCGTCTTTGTTTTCTTTTCTGTGTCTGACCCCGTTTAGCAAATAGTATATCATTTTAAAAAGTTTGGAGCGTCAAAAATTAGGTAAATAAAACATAACTCTTCTGGCTCAAGTAAAGCATTCAGTTATATACAAAGACGACCTTTGAGAAAAAAAGTTGCGGCGATATACAACTAGTGCATTTCTACTTCCTTATTCGTGATCTTTTTTGTGCCCATTACGCAATGAATGAATCGGATAGCAGTGTGCCCTCACCCGTCGATGCGACCAAGCTGAGCGAGTCCAACGGAGAAAATGCCTCGCGGTACCAAGCCTACTCGGAGCCATTCGGAGACATCGGCTTTAAGATCCGTTTGTCTTCCCCAAACATGCAAGTGGAGCTACTGACCCTCGGTGCCTCTATCAACTCCGTCAAAATACTCAATCCAACAGTGCCGTCGGACAGCCGAAATTCTTGGTACGAGACCTGTTTGGGCTTCAATGATCCTCAAGAATGTGCGGAACCTGGTGCGCCGATCGGTTCCACCCACGGACGATTCGCAGGACGCATCGCAAACGGTCAATTCGTGCTCGATGGCAAAACACACAAACTCATCACAAACTGCGGATCTCACACCCTCCATGGTGGGCCGAATGGCTTCAATACGCTTCAGTGGAAGTACCTGATAACGGAAGGGGAGGATGAAATTGGTGTATCCTTCTATCTAACCTCCCCGCACTTTGATCAGGGTTTCCCTGGTGAACTCTTTGTTTCCGCGACGTACGCGATCATGAAGCATACCACCCATCCCACCCTCAAGTATACACTGCAGGCGAATCTATCCGAAAAAACACCCGTCGATGCGACCGTCGTGAACTTGACGAATCACACGTACTGGAACCTCAACGGGGTGCCCCGTGCGGAACGTCCAGAGGAGGTCGTCCCGTTACCAAGGCCCATCTTCAACCATTCCTTAAGCATAAAAGGCAAGTACTTTGCCGAGGTCGATAAGGATCTCATCCCGAATGGGTCGATGGTGCCCCTGGAGGGAACGCCCCATGACTACACTCTGCTTCACTCGATTAAGGAGGGAATGGAGTCGCTGAAGGGGAAATCCGATCCCTGGGGCTACGACGACCCCGTTGCCCTCGACGTGTGGGACTCAACGCTGCGCGAGGCCGCCGTCCTTTTCAGCCCCCTCACTCAACTGCAGATGCGAGTTTCGACCACAAACCCGGTGTTGATCTTATACACCGCCAATTGGCTCCCGGATAAGGCCAGTGGCAAATGGAAAGATCGCTTCCGGCGCCACAGTGGCATTTGCTTGGAGTGCCAATACTTCCCCAACAGTCCGAATGTTCAAAGCTTTCCATCGACCACACTAAAAAAAGGCGAAAAATATTCCGAAACTACTGTGCATGAGTTTCAGTTCATGGGTTCTCGACGTGGTTCAGGGGAATACTTGAAGCTATTCTAATAAAATCATGACTGCAAGATCAGCAGGACAGACTGTTGTATCAGTTGCTTCTTGTTTTTCTAATTTTTTCCCGTATATGATTATTTTTAATCCTTGCGAAGTGTTTTAATATTTTGGATTTGTCTTTATATTTTTAGAGAGATGTGATTACCTATTGATATTGATTTGAATGTTGTAAGATTATTTAAATATATATATATATATATATATATATATATTAGATAATATATGACATTAAAGTACTTTTGGCTATCTCAACGTTTTCTTATTTAATGATTTAAAAAATATTTTACATAGATGTATGGATAGAAAAATGGACGAAAATAAATCCTAATGAGTACGCGATGAGTCCAAAGAGTTACGATAAATCACAGTAAAAGCTCGTTTTTAAAACGCATGTGAAGCGACATCGCAATAGATATTATCATATTTGTTCCATTTAAATGAATTCGAAGTGCTTTCTCCTCCTTTATCTTTTTTGAACAACAAACGCCACACTCACAATATATGAATGCTTAATTGATTTTCCCCACTCAATCCCTAAAGAAAGTAGCTGTATATATATATATATATATGTATATCAAAACTATAAGCAGCCCTCTTAACCTTCAGTATGTTGTTGATTTTCTTTGTGATGGATCCATCATAAATTATTTTAACATATTTAGAAAACTTCATTGAATTTTGACTATACTAATGCTTTAGTGCAAAAAAAAGAGAGAAAAATTAAGGATGCCATAACGGGTTCCATGCTTACTCACGCAAAAGAAAAAGAACACTGATATACCATCCCCTACCCTTTACATTATACCACATGCCTAGATGAATGGTATTGTTTTCTTCCCCTTTTATAGCGGCGACGCTGAATTTGGTGTTAGGATAGAGTCACACAGGCTGAATTTCTGAAACTACTCGAACGTTGGGTTGCGACCGGTCAAGATAATCTCAAGTCGAATGGCCTAAACCGCCGAGAATGAACCTCGTCACCACCCTATTTAAGGTCAAACGGATCCCAGGGAGCAGGCTTATTGGTGAGCAGTCTCTTGATAACTCCAGCTTTAGACAACAGGAGTATCGAGATTGTCTCCTCCACAACCTCTCCCACCCCGGGGTCGATTCTATCCTCCTTTTAGTCGAGGGGATCGCAGCGTACCGGGAGCTTTGCCATCCCCTTCTCGCCAATCGCCCCCTCACATCAGGCAGCGGTAAACTCATCCCGATACTATTCTCCGGCTCGACGGTTATGCGAGAGGGGCGCACCCCGTCCATTGGGCAACCTACCAGGCTTCCCACCTACGAAGACCTCTTTCGGATTGCGAACCAGCTGGCACCAGGCACACCTTGCATGGTGTGCAACGCCGATATTTACCTCTCCCCACAACATTTTAGGGTTCCCGATGTGGTGAATCTCTTCAAACGAGAAAACGCCTCGCACCCTTCATTTGAAAGGGAATCTGGGGAGGAAAAATGGAAGCGGGTGGCGCTCGCGCTGACGAGGTATGAAAGCGACCACCCACGCGACGCACCGCTGATTTCGGACTACAGAGGCTCTCATGATGCGTTTATTGTGCGCCCGCCGCTGCCGGAAAGCTTCCTTCGGGCTGTGGCGCACCCCCAGAATGCGTACCAGGCGGAAAACATCGTCATTCATGAGCTTCGGCGTAGTGGTTATACGGTCCTGAACCCTTGTCTAGACCTGCATATCATTCACCGACACGCGTCGGGGATTCGGCAGTGGCTTCCCTCGGTAGACCCCACTCGATATGGGCGGGCAGCCCCCACTACGATGCGAGACGTGACATTGAAGTTAGCCCAAAATATTTAAGAATAACGAATCGTACTAGTGAGGAAAGCGGAACGATGTTTTCCTCTCCACGCTACTCTCGATACGACGCCCTGGGCAATGCAACGCGATATAATTTTTTTTTTTGGAGGGGGGGGGATTTGCCCATGATTCAGGCCGAAAGTGTTTAGGAGATCTCCAGTGCTGGCGAAGGTTGTGAGGGGAAGTAAGAGCTTTTACCGCAGCGCCCTGTGGGGCATGCCATAGGCTCATTAAGAGGTGTGTGCTTCTGTAGAAAGAAGTAGAACTGGCGGATATCTCCCATCTTACCATCCAAAAACTGCTCTTTGAGGCTAAGCCATCTTTGCTTCTGAGCCCTGTTTTCTATTCCACTCGTTCTATAGGTTTCCTTTCAGCGCTTCCATGCACACCGATTCCAAAACACAGTATGATGACTCTATCCTAATTATTGCTGTGTTATCTATCGTTATGGTATACAAAGCAATTTCCTGAATGTGTGTGGACTTAGCGTTCAACCTTTTCCCACTTCTTGAGTTTTCTAAGCGATTGTCTGCTCTAAATTCCAGGAAAGACGAAAGATCAGTTACTTTAAAACGCGAGGGACATTCGATTCGTGTCCGATCTCGCCTCTTTCACCTCGTTTACTCCTTTAAAAAAAAAAAAAAATGGCTTGGCCTGCGCGCGAACGTCGTATCACCCCACTGCCATCCAGCCTAGCCGAACGCTTCGGCACCCCTCCCTCCTTCCACATCCACACCGTCGAGGATCCCCCTTCCCAGTCGTCGACGTGGCCGGCGAGGACGACAGTGAGAGACGTCGAGGTCCCTTCGTGTGGAGGCTACACCAACGAGGAGGCCAGGGCGCGGCCCGTCCTTCCTAAAGAATCCCGCTATGCCAACGCGAGATCCACCCCTCTCGCGACGGATCCTACGACGATGACGATGTCGTATAGGGATGAACGCCACTCCGGCGAGCCTGCCTGGTATCGCCCGCCCCCCACGCCGCCGTCATCCTACCAACGCCATATCCCCCCCTCCCTCCGGCAAAGCCAGGTAATTTACCCCTCCCAACCCCTCTCGGAGGGGGAGGATAGGCGCGAGGTGGGGATGATGGTCTCCTCGATAGCATTTCCCTCCACCGGGGGTGAACCTCGTCGTGTTTTCAACGTTCAACCGCCCAAACCGCGCGGGGAGGAGATCTGCGCGGCGTTGCAGGGCGTCCGTGAGTCCTTATCCCGGCAAACCTCCGTAATCCAAGCCCAATCCGAGCTCCAGCAGTCCCTCTTACACACCACCTTGCAGGCTCAGGAAAACTTCGATCGGGTGTTTGTGGAGTTCAAAGACGAGCTTCGCGCAACGCGAGAGGTGTTGGTGCTTTTACTCGACCACAGGGATCGGTCAAACGCGCGGCGAAGCCCCGCAGGCGACGGGGTCGACAACAACGCGAAGACATTCCCAAATGATAAAGATTGTCAAGAAAAGATGCCTGGTGTAAAGCTCATCGGCACCGTTCGACGCAGAAAACGGAATGCCAGTTCGCTCCACACAAACGTTGAAACGCTTTTGGGAGCCACACAATCCAACCAAAGCAACTCATCCGCGAACACCCCATCTGATGCCTCGGCGTTGCGTAATGAGGCGTGCCCAACACATCGAGCGGGATCTCCGGAGTATTCCATTCCCTTGCCCGTGCGCGCGGATGTGGGGTTTTCACCGAAGAAGAGAATTACCGCGATTAAAAATGATGGTGACGACAGTGAAGCTGCCGGGGATGAAGTTGAGTGGAGAAAGAAACAGCAACGACGGAGTATCGACTCGGAGCCCCCTGCTGCCATGCATTTATCGGCCACAACCCATGATGAGGGGGCATTTGATCGTGAAGAAGACGTCTTCTTTATATAGCACCAGATGTATATTTCCAATGAAATTTTTGGTGCGATTTTAGATCAAACGGAGTACTATTAACTATGGCCTTCATTATTCTTTTAGATGCTTGGACGGTGATTCGACAGAAGGTTGCTACGTTTGCCTTAGAGCATATCCTTTTTTCCACCTTCCCCTTGTTCTTTTGATACTGCTTTTTTTTTTCCTTGCCACCACCTCTCGGTAGGATATATGAGCGGGGGGTTAGCCTATGGGATCGCTCTATTTGGGCCTCACGAAGGTGCAGCAGCTCCTAAAATCAAAATCAAAATAATAATGCGAACCACTTTCCGAGAATTGGGGGGTCTTAATGTGTATTGTACAAAAATATAGGATATGATTGGCCCCAACAAGTGCGTTATTATCACTGAGCTCTTGTAGCTTGGTCCTCCTTTGTGACTTTTTCTTTTTTTAGAACACATTTACATAGACCTATTACATAGAATACCGATAGAACTGAAAACCAGTAGCTACTTTGATAAATTTGTGAAGTAAAAAGAAAATCGATCGCACGCGGGTAAGTATAGGCTTGCCTTTTTTTTTCTTTTAGACATTCAATAGAGGAGGGGGGGAAGTGTAATAGTGGGGATATTTATTGTGTTAGAAAGAGCACACATCAAAAATGAACCAACATTGGGCAGGATTTATCGACCAAACATTACATTCCACGAATGATACCCTTAGGCGTCTTAAGGAGCGCCAGGCGCACTACAATGCTGCCAAAAAACGCGTCCGTGAGGCCTTTGCGAATTCGCACTTCACATTTTCCGCCACCACGACTCCGCACCCTCATGACTGCGATCAAAATGACATCTCCCCACCTGGTAAGGAAGGAAGGCGGCCTGGAAGTTCAGCTCGCGTCGCGGGAGATTATACGAATGGGTCGGAGATGAAAGTACCCCCTCCGCTTCCTCCCAGTGTGATGGATTACGCCCTGTTTGGCGAAGAGCCCCACGCCCGGCCGTCTCTTGGAACTAGCGGCGTCCGGTGGTCCTCAGGTTCCCCGGCTTCTCACACTTCACCCGACCTCCGCGAGCTCACGGATGCCTACCGCGTGGTCGAAACGCAGCTCCGGAGTGTAACGGTCGAACTGGAGCTGGAGCGCACCGTCCGCAAGGATCGCGAGCGCGAGCTCTCCGACCGTTTCTCAAATCAGATTTCGGAACTGAAGGCGAGTTTTAAGCAATTACAGGTGGAGAACCACCACCTGAAGGAGTCGATGCGGGTTTTGGAAACCCGGCAGGCCCTGAGCCAGGCCGCGCCGGATGTCATCGCTGGTGCCTTGCCTCCGTTTCATCCGGACGGCCTGACGTCTTCTCAATCGGGTTTCGGGGTTAATCAGCTGCTGAAGGATTTAAAAACCCAAATCCCCTTCCGGGGCGTCAATTCGCCTGACGCGTCGACACGCGATTCGGGCGATCGGCTGAGCGCGCTCTCCCACCGCGTAGCCGATCTCGAGTCCGGCCTCCTCCAACAACGGCGGCTGCTTGAAAACCGCCAACACCACGTCGATAGCGCCCTCCAGGAGGCAGTGGAGCACAAAATGAGGCTGGAGATCGAGCGCGTGCGCTCCGTCGCCCGCGAGACGGCCTGCGCGACGACGGAAAGCCTTATTCAGCTCCGCATCCGCGCGGAGCAGTCGATGTTTCATGAGGAACTGCGGAAGGTCTCGGAGTCCGCCGGCGTCGCGCGCGAGTTGTGGCAGGAGCACGAACGAGCGGTCCAGAAATGGGAGCAAAACTGGTCGGCCAAGTGGGAAGGGATGGAGAATCGCATGCAGGGGGTCGAGACCTTGACCAAAACCGTCCGGGAGTCCCTCGCCACGGATCTCGAAAAGAATTTTAAGGAGAACCTCGACGCGGTGCGGCAAGAGCTTTCCACGCTGCGTCGGGAAACTCAAGACGGTCAAGCACGCCTTGCTCAGGAGACCGCTTCGAAGATGGAAAGCTCTCGCCTGGAGGTGATGTCGGCCTTGCAGGATATGCTCAACGAGCAGCAGCGTCAGAAAGGCCTCATCCGGGAGGCCGCGGTGCGGCGTCTGATCGAATCCGCCGTGCAGCCCCTCCATGCCGGGCTCGAGACCGCGCAGCACGCGTGGCAGTCGCTAAGGGATTCGATCGAAACCAGGTTCCGGCAGGGCGTTTCGCGTCTGGACGAGCTCGCGGACGGGTCGCGGACCCACACCTTGGCGGTGGCGGAGCTGCAGCGGCGCCTTGCCGGGCAGTCCACCACGGTCGAGCGGATCCGCGCGGAGCTCCGGGAGGGCGCGGCGGCCCACCAGCAAACCGCCCGCGCCTTTCAGGCCCTCCAGACCGCCGCGACGGCGGC